AATTTTTGAAATGGTGTATCTTTGGCTATGTGTATTTTCAGCAAAAAAAAAGGTTGAGAAGTTAGAGGGTTGACATGTTGTGGGGTTGTTAACCAGTGTCATAAAACAATACGTGTATTACTGTTTCATGAGAAACTATTTGTTCTGTAAGCCTTCACCTGAAGTACAATTAAAAAAAAATTTTTTAAAATGTTGATTTAGTAAATCTGAAAAAGAAAGTAACTGTTAAACATTGAATCAGGCAGCAAGAAAGCTAGATAAGTTAAATTTGCAAGGAAACTATGGAGGCAACTTTTCATTTGTATTGGTGGTGCTATCATGGAATGATTCTGTAAGGAGAAGAGAGTAGGAAGCAAGGAACATTGGATTGGTTAAAAATATGAGTTAATTAAGGTGGATGACTACCACTTGCTTCCCCCCACCCCTTTTTTTTTTGGACAACTCCTTAAATTGTCCTTTGGACTTTGCCTTTTACTATTCTTTTTCCCCCTTCCCATTCCACATCCTTCTTCTATTCCTCCTCTGTCATCATTATTACTATTTTACAGAATTTAACTGCTTTTGCAAGTGGGTTTCATTGTGCATTAGTACAAGGCCAGGGGATCTGTAACATCATTAAGATAGTTATGAAAATAAGAAATTGCCCAGGAACTTTAAAAAGTCAGGCAGTGCAGTAATACTAAGGCAGTAGATTTAAAATACGTTCAGTGTACTTTGCGATGCCTTTTCCTATTCCCCTTGGTTGGATGTTTGGAAATTAATATCTTTCAGGAATTTTTAAGAATGCCTGTTGGCAAATTATTTCATTTTCTTAGCCTAGTAAGGTAGAAAGCAACTATAGGAAAGATGATTTGGTAAGGAAAATAGATAGATAGACTAGCGTTTTGCAGACTGCATTAAATTTTTGTGGCCAGTTAATTTTGAGAAGTCCTTTTAAGGCTACAGTAAAGTAGCACTGAACTGACTCAATTTAAAACCTTTTTTTTTTTTGTTTCTTTTTCGATATTTGAGAATTCTCTTTGAGAATCCTGTTGGGTGCCCCGGTGGGTAGTCTGCCATGGGACTGCAGTTTCCTCATTATACAGAATGGACAAAGTACTCAGAATGCTAAAGAAGCCAGGGAATGAAGCTTTAAATAAAAGAAATAAAAGGAAGAAACCTTGGAAATAGGCCTAACTTTTGATCTCTGCCCTGTCATTTACTGATTGCATGATTAGTAAGTTTAGGCAAGTTATTCTCAAAAGCTTTGTTTCCTCATCTTTAAAATGGGAAGAATGACATCTTTTCCTGGGGCTATTGTGAAATAGTTATTGTAAAGCACCAGGCACTCGACAAACAATATTTACAAAGTCCTCCTTAAATTTATTTCACAGAGCTCAAAGCCATCCCTAACCATTACCACCAGCACCACACAACTCCCAAAGAGAACATTTTGATGGACGTGTCATTGTACCAGATTTTAGGTACATTGTACCAGTACAAGTTTGTGAAATAATGGTAAAGTTGTTGCCATTATTACCAACAAACAATAACTATCCAGCAGGACAGGTCTGGGGTTCTGGCAATAGATCTAGGCTAGAGAGACCAATGTGGGAGTTGTGGCAGCCAAACTCCAAGATGGTCCCCAATGATTCTTGCCTCTCAGTATTCACATCCTTGTGTGTGATGGCAGCGGGTAGAGAAATGACTAGGAAGGGAAGAAAATAGGGACAGCAAGTGTAGACTTCCTTTTAAAGAGTTTCAGTAATACAGGAAGAGAAGTTAAAAGGGAACACAGGGTCAAGTAAGGTTCTTTGTTTTGTTTTAAGGGTGTGAGAGACCAGATTTGAGCATGTTTCCAGGCTGAGGGGAAGCAGTAGCAGAGAGAGGGATGACTAACTGATAAAACTAGATGACAAGGGAATGGGGTCAAGGACACAGATGAAAGAGTTGACTTTTAACAGCTGGATGCATGATTCTGTGAGATTGGAGAAAGGAAATTAGTTTACAGGGCAGAGAAAATGAGAGAAATTACGCCAGCTAGCCTCCATTTTCTTGATGTTGTAGAAAGCCATGTTAAATGTGGAGAGTGAATGGAAGCAGGGGTTGCAGTAGGGCTTGAAGAGAGTAGGGAGGGTTTGAAATAACAGTGGAAGGGTATGGGACGAAGAGCTGTCCGGAGGGTGTTCAGTACCCAGCCAAGTCAGCTCAATGTTGTTGCTGTCATCTTCTGACATCATTGTCATTGAAACCATGACTATTCTGTGACACCTAGCAGCATGGTTTCATAGTCTCCTTCAGCAGTGTTTATCTGCCTTTCATTAATTCAGTATATATTGAATATCTACTTCGTGCCAGGCACTGTTAGACATTACAAAGATAACATTAGACAAAGCA